GTGGCAATTACAGCGAATTCCAGGTTGAGAACCATAGATGTGGGGTACATAGAAGCGGAACCAATAAATTGGGAAAAAAAGATTATTAATCCGCAGACAGGAAAAAGAGGCTAAAACAGCACCTGGACATGGATAGCTGGTGCTTCTATAAATAAATCATTGCTGGTCAAGGTCAAGGTCTGTGTTGCAAGTGCCGTAAAACTATTATTAAATCTGTACAAAGCCATTTATGTAACCCTGTGCGAGTACAATAATTGTATTCTCCCGGCAGCTTTTCTTTGGCGTTGACGGGTACCTGTACGTGTTTATTGGGGACGGCGGCGCTGCTGGTGATCCACTGAAAGCTGGTCAGGACAAGTGAGTTCTTTCTTTGTAAAATGGTCGCTTCTAAGGACAAGCGGGCTAACCCAGATTTCGGGGGTTTCCAGAAATCTTGACCTACACCAAAAGTAGGCATTGCCCTACCTATAGGAGAAGTTTGGTTTCATTGGTGTGTATATTTCAAATATTATTTGTTTGGTTATAAAGAAGACTCTCCTTGTTTTTTAAAGAAACTGAACAAGGGGCAAAAACTTAACCTTCGATTTTCTCAAAACAGTATTCCTGGGATAGCCCCCTTGTGCTTAAAAGCGACCAATTAATGTCCAGTTTTCTTCATGAAAGTGAAAGATCACGTGCTCTTTTGTTTTTATACATAATGTGAAGTGCATATTATTGTCATCTATTGTGTTGTGACAGAAAGAATGTTTGTTTATGTGTTAGTGTTAATTTTAAAAATGTATGTGTGCATGTTCATCTACTAGTGTTTTGTGTTTAGATGAAGGTATTGTAAAGCGCCTAGAGTTGTGTTCCAAAGAAGTGGACGCAAAAGAAATGATGATGATGATGATGATGATGATGATGATGATGATGATGATGATGATGATTAGTAGTAGTATTTATTATTATTATTATTATTATTGTTGTTGTTGTTATTAAGAATTAAGTATTTTTATTGTTATCATTACTATTATTATCAGTATTATTAATTGAGTCAATGGGAGAGTACACCATTTACTATAAATTACACTGGCAGATCTCTCCTCTATGGCAAAGTCCTCCGTTTAGATGTGGACTCGGATACCTCCCAACCCTATACGATTCCTCCCGACAACCCGTTTGTAAGTGAGTCGGGAAGTCGAGATGAGATCTACGCGTATGGCGTGCGCAACATCTGGAGATGTGGCCTGGACAGAGGCAGCAGTGACTCAGGTGTGAGCACATCTAATTAAAACTTGTGGCTCTGAGAATAAGAATAAGAGTGGTTTTACTACACTTTTCCATGTTCTGAGAAAAATGAATTTAAAAAAATTTTCATGGAATAAAGATTACTCTGTCATAACTGCTGCTTTGAGATCACTTTTACTTTTAGTCATAAAAAGAATCGCACCAGGGTTAAACCTTTAATGGAAAATGTACTTTGTTTGTTGTTTGTTTGTTTAGTATAGGGTTTTACGGCGCTCGCAACTGCATTAGGTCATATGAGCGCACGGGACACACCTAATACTTTTTCGTTGGTAGGAAATTTTGAATTTTGCCTGGGTGGCGGCCGAAGCCTACTCTTATAGATTTTAGACCACCAAGGGATCTTTAACGTGCGCAACTTGCACACGGGCCCTCCGAGATTTTTCGCCCTTGTCCGAGAAGGCTAGGTGTAGATCTTTCCTACCAGAAGATCAGGGGTGTGGCAGAAAGACAGCAGTTAGGAGGAGCCAAGGAGTAGCAGTAGAAAGGCTGCAGAAAGAGTCAGGAGCCCAGAGGAGGGGGCAAAGGCGGTGAGGGGTGGGGGCAGAAAGTGGAAATGAAAGCAGACAACAGAACATTGTTAGAGATCAGGAAAGGATGTGAAAGGAGACAATTTTAGAGAAGAAAATTTTTCGGTCGCTACCCGGAATCGAACCCGGGACCTTTGAATGAGAGGCCAACACCTTAACCTCTAGGCCACGAAAGCCCCCAAATGTACTTTAAATACCAGTAAATATATATATATATATATATATATATATATATATATATATATATATATATATATATATATATATATGTAGTTGTCTACACCCTGGGACTAATCACTCTGCTTGCACCAAAAGTTGAGTAAGATCACTCTTACTCTTATTCTTAGGGGCCCATGATTTAATTTAGCCTCTTCACTTCTATGTAGACGTATAATAAACTTGCTTGACCTTTCCCAAAAGAGGAAGTTTTAGAAGGTGCAATTACAGCTTGCGCAGATGCTTATTGTTAACCCTTTCTGTGCCGTTAACCGATACAGCGTCATCTTCGCATTTTTATTTCATCTTGTGTGAACCATTATCGGTATAATAAGAGTTGAATATGAGAAAAAATGTGATAGCTTTATACATGTATAAATCTCTTGAATGAACGTGTTATCTTTTCTGTGAAAATGTAGATGGACATGTCTCAGCAATTAAGGGATTAAGGCGTGTGTGTGTGTGTGATGGGGGGGGGTTGAGTTAAGTTTGGTTTCTATGAGTCGAGAGAAGCTCAGCTATACGATAAGGATTATTTGGTGCTAGGAAAGAGCAAGACAGACGTACAGAAACAACAAGGGGAAGTAAAGAACTGGAACCTGTCGTGATGTGACTCCCTCCAACCAACCACTGAAGCGAGGTAGACTTATACAAACACATATGAACACACACACATGCACACACACGCACACACACACACACACACACACGCGCGCGCGCGCGCGCGCGCGCCCGCGCACACAATGATATGCGGTTTACGTAGGCGCCTTTCATAATTAAATGCAGTGGGAGAGGATTCCACATTGAGGCAGCAGCTACCGAAAAAAACAACCACTATAGCCTACCTAACTGGGGTATTTGTGTTTGTTTATTTATTTGTTTGTTTGTTTTGTGTTGGTTCCCCCCCCCTCTTTTTGTAAGGCACCGTCTCGAGTTGTCTTTGGTTATTGGGCCGTGTTTTGTTTTTTTGATGGAATATAATTCTCTTGTTTTAAAGTACTTGTATACATATCGGGGTGCCAGTTCGTTTAAACACTTTTATAGCAACTTTGCAATCAACGCAGGCTTTATAGGATGGCGTTGTAAGTAAAATCAATGGTGTTGTGTGTTCTCTGAGAGAACTTTTGAGAAAACGTCTCGCGGCGTGATTCTGGAGTTTTTGCAGTTTATCCATTAGTTCTGCTGGTTTGTGTATGGGGAGTAAGATAGAATAATCAATACGAGTCGATTCAAATGTTAACATCAGTGTCAAGGGGGAATGTCTCGATTAAAGGGTTGCCTTTTGTGCAGTTCTTCGCATCTGTAAATAATAATAGATGTACGTACTCTTGCATAAATTTTGGACTTGATGGTACATAGGCAGTGTGTTATGTAAAGCATATTTTTTGCCTTTGCTGTAAAAAAACACGTAGGCTTACTTTCTCTTTTCCAACAACCCGATGACCAGTCCCACAAAATTGCTTCATTTGAGGCTTTCGGTTAAATTAAATCACTTCTGTTATTACAAGTGAACACAACGAATAGTGTTCTATTTCCTGAAGATATTTACAGAGAGGATAGAACCCTCTACATGTCCTTCAAATTTCACTTGAAATAAAAACTTAACCAGGTACAGTAAAACGTTGACCTTATTCAAGTGAGCATATTTAAAGTAATGTATTGCCTGACTCCTACCTCTTAAATATTCACAGACAGCAACAGGGGGCGTGTCCTGTGTGGAGACGTCGGCCAAAACAACTATGAAGAAATTGATCTACTCAAAAAGGGAGCGAATTACGGCTGGAATGCTCGAGAGGGCTTTGAGTGTTACGACGACGATCTTTGTGGAAACATAGGTGAGCTTTTTAATACAATACGCAACTTGACTACAGATGCGAGCCGCTGTGAAGAAATGGATTCGTATTAAACACCTCTATAGATTGTGTAGTCTCAGTTTTAGTGATGGTTTTATGGCATTTACAACACAAATCGGTCTTATTAGTGCGGAAGAGTAGAGGTGTTACTCGAGAGTAACAAACACAAAAAGGAGGAAAGATAAGGATGACAGATGTTTGATAGGACGAAAGAAGGAGCAAGTCACCACTCAAGAGCACCCAGAGACCAACCATGGTTAGTTTGTTTAGTTTTATAACCCTTTTGACAAACAAGGAATGTAGATATGAGGCGACTCAGGATGTTAGAGCCAACTCAGGCAGGGCGAGATACAGCATGGACTTTCTTCACGAGGGAATCGAACTCTTGTCTTTTGTGCAACGGCTAAGAGCCTTGCCATTTCACCACAGACGTCGGTGTATGAAGATCAAAATAAAAGTTTACGGTACAACTTTTGACTGCAATCTTGTAATCAAATGTCCTTTTTCAAGTACAAGCATGTGGTGATATCTAAATGCTGTTGTGTTGTTGCTGTTTGTTTTGGGGTCTTGTTTGTTTTGCTTTCTTTTTTTTTGGGGGGGGGGG